GAGATTCCTTTAGAGCTTTACATATAAACTAAGTACCACAGGTAATGCATGTTTGACATATCATTTATTGATTGACTGATTATTTAGTTCATTCATTTATCTTTTGAAGTAACATCTTGAAGCAGGTTTAGCAACATATGGAATATCCTAGTGTTCTTTGAATGGATCATTGCTCTCCCCATAGTATTTTTTTTTTTTTAGCTTTTTCTATGTTACAGGGTGAAATGGGGAGGTTCAGAGTTAGAAGCACATTTGTTCTTTTCTTGACCCCCTCCTGACTTTAGTGTGACTTCAAGCATGTCACTTGAACCTCTTAATGACCCCAACTGTGAAACAGGGCTGCCTCACAGAGGGCTTGTGAAGAGCAGCAAATCACAGTCCTTTCTAACCAGAATCACTTGCAGACTGTGAGGGAGGGTTAATTTCCCAAGCACACTGGTCAGTTGGACTACACTTACAATGTCTTTGGGAATAATTAGATGATGGTCCTTGAAAAGCTTTTACTTTCTATTCCTATCCAGAATATTTTTAATTTTTACATATTTTAAAATATTTCCCTTTTTTCTGGACAAAAAGTTATCTAGTGTTTCCTTTTTCAGAGTTCAGCGGTGGCAGAGATCATTCAGGTATTTTTACAGGAACCTGAATTTTGTGAAAATAAATGCACTTTGACTTTTTATTTTATATCATGGACTTTAGAAAAGTTTTGGCTTCAGATAGCATTTTGAAAATAATGCAACTCACACGTTAAAAATAACCAATAGACAGTAGCCTGTGTAACTTCTGAAATGTGTTTCTAACTAGTTTTTTGTTTGTTTGCTGTAGGTAGGCAGGACAATTGCAAATAAGTAGAGCAGAAAACAAAATTACTGTTAGCCATCTTACACATAGAACCTTTTAGAACTATTAGTGTATTCTATAAAATGCTTTACATAGTAATGCTTGAAAGATTTAATAGATTTCCTGGTATTGTTTGTCTTCTAATTGGGAAAAGAATCCCTGTAATAGAAAATTTCTTACGCAGCATACATAGCATGTGCTGATTATCATTCTTTGACTGCTTTGGGTTTCTGCTGCTTCTAAACTAGCATTTAAATGGACCATTTGATTAATCATTTGTATACTGACTGTAATCCTCCCAAATTTCCTTCCTGAGTTGTACATACTGTAAAAGACAATTATGTCGCCACAGATTAAATAAGTGAATTAAAACAGAATAGCGGCTTAATTTGACCTGTGATTTTGTTCTCCTTCCCTTTAGTGGCGCGTATGCCACTCCAGCAAATAAATGAAGTCATCCATGACAGCTTGTGATGAATTGCCGTATTTATACTGTATATTTTAATAGCCTCACACTAATTTAAATTGAGCACAGAGTAAATTATAATTCAGTCACTTGACTGCTTGTATTTAACTTGACAACTCATGCTTATTTGTCCTGGAGGTGGAGTAGAGAGCAGGGGAAACACACTCAGGTATTTTAGTTTCTCATTTAACCCTTTCTCCAGGAACTGCTTCATATTCAGATTCTTGTTAGGGGAATGGTTTGGGGAAGGAGGCAGGAAGATCCATACTTACCTTGTATTCCAAAAGGAAAATTATCATTTGCTTTTCTTTTTTCCATTGCCTTCAAAGAATGAAAATTGGTCTTGTTTATTTTTAGCAGTTTTAAAGCTCACTCCAGAGAATGCCCAGGAGAAGGGAAATTAACCTTTCACCCCCAGTGCTAAGTCTCTCAGAAAATGGAAGAGCACTGGACTGGAGTTACCTTAAAATGGATTTTGCTTTCCTTCTTAAGCTTCTAGGAATTACTTTATTTCATTTTCCACCATTACCAAATATCTATTCTAGACCGTAGCACATACCAAGAATGACCCAAACTGTCTAGAGTACAATGGCTTAGCTCCACAAATAGTACTTTTTTCTCTCTATTGTAGGTCAGTGTGGCACTTGTGTTTGTTTTGGTGTTTATGGCTTTGATTTTAAATTTAGTGTAGCAATTGCTGTGTCTAGAAATAGTTTATTTAGAAGTTTGTTTAATATAGCAATGCTGTATCTACAAAGTTTGCTTAGAAGTTTATTGCAAGGAGAATTTTAATTAAATTCCATGTCACTTAGTGGGTGCTATACTAAGTTCTTGTTCTGGTGGCTGAGGGATAAAGTATACATGAGATTCATTTCCTGCCCTTGAGGGTCAGCTCCCAACCTGGACACTTGAGGCTGCTATTTTTAGGTGAGTGTTGAAAACAGAATGTGATAACGAGAAGTATTAAGAGCCAGAGCTAGAGATGAATTCTGATGAGTTTTCGGAGGTGTTGAGGAAGGAATTCAAGCTGAGTCTTAATGGTCACACAACGACTGTGGAGTGGAGCAAAGAAGCACAGGGAATGGCAGGAGCAGAGACAGGAGGTGGAGGGATGCACAAGGCACATGTACAGAACAGGAAAATTACCTGGGTTCATGGAGGAGTGGGTTATGGTGGTAGTGGAAGGAGTTAGAATAATGAGTTGAACTAGGTTGTGGCAGAATTTTAAATGTCATGCTAGAGTTTTAGCATTATATAGGTAGGTCATGGGAACTCAGTTAAGTGGTTTTGATCAAGGGAATGATATGGTCTCAATAGTTTTGGCCTCATTACAAGGTGTTAGCCAGCCATGTGAAGTCCTGTTATTTCTTTTTTTTTGGTCCGTTCGTGGGACCTGAACTCTGGGCCTGGGCACTGTCCCTCAGCTCTTTAGCTCAAGGCTAGCACTCTACCACTTGAGCCACAGCGCCACTTCCGGCTTTTTTCTTTTTGCTTATGTGGTGCTGAGGAATCGAACCCAGGGCCTCAGGCATGCAAGGCAAGCGCTCTACCACTTAGCCACCTTCCTAGCCCAAGTCCTGTTATTTCTAGTTTGAAGGCCTAGGCATATATTTTACTAGTCATATTAACACTGCATAAATGACATTTTGATCCTTAAATAAATGGTTCTTTACTATGGGCTAGGAATCATCAGGTAAGCTAATACTAAGATACAGCCAAGTACATTATTTTGGGACAAGTCCCATGTATTAAGAATTTTTGTTTTGGTTTTGGTACTGGGGATTAAACTCAATGCCTCAAGCTTATTAGGCAAGCACTGTTAATACTGAACCATGACTCTAGTCCTTCATTTGTGTGTGCTTGTATGTTTGTGTGTTTGTGTGTTTGTGCATGCTTGTCCTGGGCTTGAAATAAGGGCCTAGCCGCTGTCCTTGAACTTTTTGCTAGCACGCTACCTTGAGCAACAGCTCCACTACACACTTTTCAGTGGTTAATCAGAGATAAGAATCTCATGAACTTTTCTGCCCAAGCTGGCTTCGAACCATGATCCTTAGATCTCAGCCTGCTGAGTAGCTTAGATTACAGGCATGAGCCATTGGTGCTCAGTCTTTCATTGGGAATTTTTTAAAGTGTGTTAGATCTGAATGTTAGGTTTGGATTGAGAACTATACTACCCTAAGATCAGTATCCATTCAGCAGAATATTTAGGGTAAAAGAGTACATGTATTTGACATAGTGTTATTTTATGGCATAGAATTAAAACATTAGATGAATTAATTTTGTTGCTAAGTTTTATACAGGAACAAAAATGTAAGTGAACATTGCTATCTAATGACTATCGACGGAGAGGCATATTTTAAGTATTTCTTGGTTGTTTTGTATCACACTTAAAATCTAGTTAGAAATTAGCAGTATTTTTCAATCTCTTTTTACCGTCTCCCTCAAATGATCATTTTCTTTCCAGAAACTATCAGTTTATATAATTCCTAGATTATGTTTTGGCTTCTATATGAATACATATAGTCTTTATACAAATGTCATTGAGTGTTGGGAAGTATATGATGATGTCATGATAACCTTGAGTGCTAAGTTTTTAACTAAAAATGCTAGAGTCAGAAACTGCCACAACATTCAAAAACTATATTCCATTACTGCCTTTTTAAAATAAGAAATTTTCCTTGAGTTGGTTTCACTGAAGCTCTCAGTGAATATTGAACAATGACAGGATCTTTTTAATGGGTAAACATTGGAGCTGAGGATGGAGCTTAGCGTGCCTAAGGACCTCAGTTCAATTTCCCCATCCCTTAAAAACGGGTTTAAAATAGCTAGAGTTTATCCTAGGTTAACTTTATAACATGCTTTTATGTTTTTGTGATACAAATCCAGCTCAATGACTGATATTTTAAGGAGAAACAAAACTATCAAGAAGTACTGGAAAAGCACAGCAGACAGGAGGAAGCTCTGCCCTGCCATAAAGTGTGGCTCTCCGTAAAGAAACCTTGCTGCCCTCATTTCTAAAAGAAGGGACTTAGAGCCCAATGCCTGTGGCTCACACCTGTAATCCTAGCTACTTGGGAGGCTAAGATTTGAGAATCAAGGTTTGAATCCCACCCAGACAGAACAAATTGAAAGACTCATCTCCAGTTAACCAGCAAAAAGCTGATGGTATATATATGGCTCAAGTCAGTAATGTTTGTAAAGAAACATTACCACCTGGGATAAAATAAAATATGATGTGCTTTTAAACTTTTTTTCACAAATAACTAAAAATCATATTGAAAATATTATTTGAACTTATCTTCTCTGCTTATCTGCTAATGTCTGAATCACAGGCAGTTCTTTTTGGAATAGTTTGAGGACCATCTGTACCTTCTTTTCCTGAAAATAACCAGTGTGGCCTAAATAGAGTGCATAAAATAAAGAGTATTATAACTTGACTGACTTTTAAAGCCATTAATGCTGACCTTTGAGACCTGGCCTTTTCTGTGGTCACATCAATCAATTCTGGGCCACCTCCCCCAATATAAAGGCTCAGACACAGGTGGAAACAATTTATGTTACTGCAGATTATGGTAGTGGGGAGAGGGAGGGAATGAATAAAGGCACTACCTTGTTTTAACTCTTATATTTTATAATAATTATACCATATTTGACTTGCAAGTGGATAAATATATTAATGCTTTTCTATATTTAGGTTATACTATTAGACATTACACTGGAACTTCAGAAACAAATTATGTCTGAATTGGAAATTCTTTACAAGGTAATTTTTCCCTGGTCACTTTCACTTGTAAAACTGAGGGGCATGTTAGCTTTCAGGTTTCTAACTACCTTTTGTCTTATTTTTGTTGCAGTGTGACTCATCATATATCATAGGATTTTATGGGGCATTTTTTGTAGAAAACAGGATTTCAATATGTACAGAATTCATGGATGGTAAGCTTTCACTTTTCAGTATTTTAAAAATTACTTCTGGAATAGAGAGTGCTATAAAACCTGATTTTGATATAGATGTCGATTAAAAATGATTAAAATACACTAAGAGTTGTGTCCTTTATTCTTGGAAATCATCTCACTGTTAGAGATTCCTGGTGTTAAACATTTATAGCTGAGCTATAATTTCAAGAATGTAACTTCATTTACTTTTATTGAAAATTTAAATAGAAGAGATTAAATACTAGTCTATTTGGTGACTTGATACTTGATTCTTGCATGCAATCTGTCTTTACTTGCAAAACAGATGTTCTCTTCTTCTAATGTTTCAATAGCCAAAACAGATTTTCTTTTAAAGAAATCTATTAACCCAATGTCCTGTGTGTTTTAGAAAGAAATCAGTTCTTAATTGCAAGATAAGAAATTGTTTTTCAACACAGCTGTTTTGCCAAGATGTGTTTAGTTTTCCTTGGAGTTCTTTCTTCCTCCTATATTTTTTATTCATTCTGTTTTATTAGATCATTCTTGATTTGAATATTGTGGCAGTAATACAGATTTCTAGGAGTGCTATCAGTGCAAATGATGGTATTCTGATTATTTTTCACTCTTTTGCACACAGGCAGTCTTTACATTTTATATGATCAACCCATTAAAATGCCACTGTGAAATCTACCTTGTATAACTAATAAATGCTAATGTTAAAAAAGTCCTAGCCAGGTGCCAGTGGCTCACGCCTGTAATCCTAGCTACTCGTGAGGCTGAGATCTGAGGATCACGGTTCAAAGCCAGCTCATGCAGAAAAGTCTGTGAGACTCTTATCTCCAATAACCAGCAGAAAACCGGAAGTGGTGCTGTGGCTGAAAGTGGTAGAGTGCTAGCCTTGAGCTGAACCGCTAAGGGACAGTGCCCAAACCCAGAGTTCAAGCTCCATGACCAACGCACACACACAAAAAGCCCTAAAGAACAAAGAACAAATTGGGTGCCAGGGGTTCAGGCCTGTAATATTGACTACTCAGGAGGCTGAGATTTGAGAAACACAGTCTGAAGTCATCATAGGTAGCCAAATCTCAGAGAGTCTTTATCTCTGGTTAACCAGTAAAAAGCCCGAAATGGAGGTATGGCTCAAGTGGTAGATTGCCATCCTTGACCAAAAAAACTAAGGGACAATGCCCATGCCTGAATTGAAGCCCCAGAACTGGCACAGAAAAAAAAAAGAGAAAAAGATGCAATATTTTAAAATATATCTACTTAGCTCCTAGTAGGAATTCTTAGTATGATACTAAAACAATTTATTCATGCACTGTAGTGAGCCAACATTTATAACTAGTCTTATAATAAATATATAATGCATTAGTTCTAGTAGAGGTCAAGCCTGAGAAGGAGAGTAATGGAGACTTTATTTTCAATTAAACACCAAAAAAGGTGGAAGTGGAGTTGTGGCTCAAGAGGTAGAGTACTTACAGGGACAGCACCCAGATCCTGATTTCAAACTCCATTACCCCAATTCAAGTCCCCCCCCACCCCCCCATACACATTAAAAAAAGTCTCTTGGATTTGTTTGCTGGGGTGGCTTCCAACCTCAATCCTTAGAACCTGTGTCCAGGAGTAGAACAGCAGGACCACATGGTAGTTGTATTTTTAGGTTCTTGATAAACTTTCATTCTGATTTACTTCATACCTGGAACTAATTTACATTCCACCAACAGTGTATACCCTGACACCTTGCTGACATTTCTTAATGGTGGCTATTCTGTCTGGATAAGATGGAATCTTACTCAATATAGCTTTGATTTGCATTTTCTCTGTGGCTAAAGATGTTGAACACTATTTCATGTATATAGTGGCCATTTGTATGTCTTTTGAAAACGTTTTATTTGCCCATTTATTCATTAGGTTATTTGCTTATTTAGTGTTTAATATTCTAGGTCTTTGTATATTCTGGCTATTGAGCCTTTATTCAATAAATAGTTGGCAAAGCTTTGCTCCCATTCTGTAGGCTGCCTTTTATGACTCTTGATAATTGTTTCCTTGATATAGAGGTTTTTAATCTGAAGCATTTGTTAGTTTTGAGCTTGTTCTCTGAACTGTTGTGTTCTTATTCAGAAAATCCCTGCCTATGCCTATATCTTGAAGTGTTTTTGCTTAGTAGTCTGATTTAACATTGATACCTGTGATCCATTTGGAATTGGTTTTTATTATATAGGCTTAGAGGGATTCAGTTTCTACACATGGAATTTTTCTAGCACCATTTGAAAGTGGCTATATTGTCTTAAACATAATTTTTGGCATTTTTATCAAGAGTCATAATGGCTGTACATGTATGCACTTATTTCTAGGCCTGTTATTCTATTCCATTTGCGCTCCTCTCCCTCTCCCCTACCCCTCCTTCTTCCTTTCCCTTTCCCTCTCCTTTTCCCTCTCCCTTTCCCTTTCCTCTTTTGGGGCTTGACCTCAGGGCCTGGGGCTCTTTTGCTAAAGGCTAGTACTCTACAACTTGGATCCAGAGCTCTACTTCCAGTTTTCTGGTGGTTAATTGGAGTTAAAAGTCTCACAAACTTTCCCTCCTGGGCTGGTTTTGAACCTTAATCCTCAGATTTCAGCCTCTTGAGTAGCTAGGATTATAGATGTGAACTACTAGTGCCCGGCTGTGTATATATTTTTTGTGTGCCAAACACCATGCCATTTTTGATACTGTGGTTCTGTAATGTAATTTGAAGTTAGGAATTGTGATACTTCCCACCATTGACTCTTCTCTCTCTCTCTTTTCACTGGCCTTACTCTTCTTGCTAGACATGTGCTCTAGCACTTGAGTTGTGCCAGAACCTCTTTTGCTTTAATTATTTTCAAATAGGATCTCTTCTAGCCAATAATTCTCATAGTTAAATTTCCAGAATATCTAGGACAACAGGTATGAAACCATCCCATCCAATTTTTTATTGGTTGAGGTAAGGTCTCCAAAATTATTCTCCTGAAGTGACCTCAAATTTCAATCCCCTTGATCTCTACCTTTAGATTAGCCAGAATTTTAGGATTGAGCTACAGTGCCCGGCAAGCATTTTGCTCTTTTTACTCAGGATTACTTTGGCTGTTCTGAGTCTTTTGTTATATAAATTTCAGGATTTTTTTTTTTTTGGTTCTATGAAATTTCTTTTGGTATTATCATTTTCTAGTGTCTTTTTCTATTTCTTTTCTCAGTGTTGTAGTTTTTTATTGTAGAGGTCTTTGACCTCTTCATTTAAGTGCTCTCTAGTGTTTTTTCCCCTTGAAGCTATAATTGCAAATGGATTATTTTCCTGATTTCTTTCTCAGCTTGTTCATTGTTAATATAAAGAAAAGGTACCGATTTTTTTTTTAATTTAATTTTATTTTATTTGAGAACATACTGTACAGAGGGGTTACAATTACATGGACAGGATAATGCATACATTTCTTACCAAGCATTGCAGCCTCCTCCTTTGTTTACCCTTCACCTCCCTTCCCAGCCTCCCCCCTTCCTCCCACCCAATCCGATTTTTTTTTGTTTGTTGATTTTCATATTCTAATACTTTGTTGAAAATTTTATCATTTCTAAGAGCTTTCTGGTTGAGACTTTGGCTCTTTTAAGTACAAGATCATATCATCTACAAATAGGAATATTGTGACATCCTTTCACATTAATATACCTTTGTTTCTTTTGCCTTCCTGTTCTAGCTAAAAATTCAAGCATTATATAATTGAATGGACAGAGAGAATGATCAGTGACCCATTGATCACTCAAATGATCCTTTTCTCATTCCTAGTTATAGAGGAAATACTTTGTTTTTCATTTTTGACATTGTTGATTATAGGTTTACTGTATATAACTTTCCGTATATAGACATATGGTCCTTCTGAGTTTCTTCAGGAGTTGCATCATGAAAGAATACTGAGTTTTATCAAAGATTTTTTTCTTTTCCTTTTTTTCTTTTTTTTTTTATTGTGAAAATACTGTACAGAGGGGTTACAATTACATGGGCAAGATAATGAGTACATTTCTTATCAAGCATTGTAGCCTCCTCCTTTGTTTCCCCTTCCCATCCCTTCCCATCCTCCCTGCTTCCCCTCCCCCCCCACCAAAGTTGTAAAGTTCGTTTTAGACATAATGACTTGTACATTTCATTGTTGCAATGGGTCCACCTGTATCCCTATTTAAACTATTTGTTTTTCCCCTTCCCCTCCATAAATTATACTGACATCAAATACAGTGAAAGCAGGGGTTATAATGTGGGGGAGGGACATACAAAGCAACAAAGAAATTATCTTATAAATGTGTTAGAAACAATTGCATGAAAAAAAACATTTGAATACATATCTTAGGGTTCATTTCCCTAACATCAACTTATCTGACCTTTTCTGCTTGACTCAGACATATACTAGATAAAGATTTTTTTTGGAGGGGGAGTCCGGTCGTGGGGCCTGAACTCTGGGCCTGGGCGCTGTCCCTCAGCTCTTCAGCTCAAGGCTAGCACTCTACCACTTGAGCCACATTGCCACCTCTGGCTTTTTTTCTTTTTGCTTATGTGGTGCTGGGGAATCGAACCCAGGGCCTCATGCATGCAAGGCAAGCGCTCTACCACTGAGCCATCTTTCCAGCCCTATCAAAGATTTTTTGCATTGATTACAATGATCCTGTGATTTTTATTGATGATTTTATGTACCATATTACATTTATTCATTTGCATAAGTTGAACCATCCTTGCACCCTTGAAATAAAACTACTTTGATCATGTTATATGATCTTTGTATTGAATTTTATTTGCATGTATTTCATTGAAACTTTTTTTATCTGTGTTCAAAAGGAAACTGATCTATGGTTTTCATTTTGTTACACATTATTTGGTTTTAGATTGAGTTATAATATTCCTTCCCTTTTTGTTTTGTGGGTAATTTGTGGAGCTGTGGTACTCTTTGAAAGTTTGGTAGAATTTAGCCAAGAATCCATCCAGTCCTGAACTCCTCTTTGTTAAGAGACTACTGCAAACTCA